TAGGTGGGGGAGGGACAATGGTTGACCACAGAGTGAGGCAGACTGAGACCTCAGTCACCGACATCACAGGGAAAGAAAAGGTTTGTCCTGCACATCATTACTGCTCAGAGAGAGACCTTCATAGACTCTACTGTATACACATGGGGGGGGGGTGACCAAATTGCACCCGGAGCAGCATGAAAACACAGCCTGTGTCACTGCTGTGGTTGGACGTCTGCTGGTGACTGTGGCTGAAACTCGTCCTGGTTGTTTATGGGAGCGAGCTATAGCCACCAACCACCGACAGAGTTCACTCCTCTTCTTCTGTGCACAAACGTATTTTCTGTTTGAATCTCTCGAAAACCAGAATTTGTTGATCAGAAAAATGTCTTTCTTTAAAACTCTCATATCTGAACGATCAGTTTTGTGTCAAATTAAGAAATGTAGAAAACGGACTGAAATGGTTCATATGGAAGAGAAATACACAGTCACACACGTGCAGTATATGTGTATATAAATATATACACATGCATATGTACATACATAGACAATACAGGTGTATATATACATATATGTATGTATATGTATATATAATATATGTACATAAATGCAATAATAAATATATACATACATGTATGTATATATTTACTTGTGTGACTGTATTTTCTGTTAAATATTTAATTAAAAAAATTTAGTCAGTTTTCTACATTTATAAGTTGACACATTGTATGTGTGTGTAATTGTATGTACTGGAGATATACAGTATATGTATGTGTATATATGTGTACGTATAACTATATAGGAATTGAACATTTGCTTTGAGCGATCAGTCTTTAATCCATCACCAGACAAGAGTCTTTAAAAGACTTCCTGAAGATGACAGAAAAATAAAACCTAAAATTGGTGACACAGTCAATGAAACTCTAATTCTGTTCTTTCTCTTTTTTTTTTTTTTTTTTTTTTTTTGCTGCAGTCCAAACCATTAGCCAGAGACCGGGTTGTTTATCTGTTCATCAGTAACGGCTCTGTTTTTAATTAGCCCGACTCATGAGTCCAGGAAGTTTCCCTCTCTTTGACAAACGACACCACTGATCCTGTTTACTGTAACACCATCCATCAAGTTGTGATTCGGTTCTGCAGGATGGGCTCTTTTCTTCCTTCTGGGTCCAGGCATCTTTGCTGCTGCTGCTGCTGCTGCTGCTGCTGCTGCTGACAGCACTACAAAGAGGAGTCAGGTTTCTCCTCTGGGTTCCTGCTGGCAGCAGAGCTGCGGAGTCTGCCCGTCAGTGTCGGGTTCCTCTGAAGGAGAGAGCAGTTCCTGACACTGGCTGTAGGAGAAGGCAGTGCATTTGCTTCTCATTAAATCAATTGGATTGTCCTGTTGGTCCACGGTGCAGGCACTTACCAGAGGTCACAGACAGAGGTCATCGCTCTGGCTCGGAGCCTCGGTGATTGCAGAGAGTTTCGCCGCAGGCTTTGTGTTACAGTCGGGAAACCTGCAGACCAAAACCAAAGGTGTTTTTTGGGGTCTGTTAATGTTTCTGGTTGGTTTTTATTTTTATTTTTTCATCTAATTTAAACTAAAATAATGGGACTGTCAAAATAAAAGCATGGATCCTGTTCAATAATTTATGAATGACGTGTTCTGTATCCAATACTTCCACCATCAATCACCTTATTGTTGCTCTGATACACTTGTTGCCATTTAAACACACTGTGGGGAAACTTTATTGATTTACCAAAGCACTTGAACTTCAAATACCACCCTGACATCCAGCATGTGTTTGTGGAGGTTTATACTTCAGGTGAGACGTCAACCAGTAATGAGTCAACCTACAGCTGACGGTCTGAGATGTCAAATGGTTCAATAGGAACGGCAGACTGATGAAATAGTTGATGAAGTCTTTACCTCTTCTACCAGCTCCCCTCAAGACTAAAGTTTATCAACTCTATCGGGCTAAATTCTGAGTTTTTTCTTGGCGTTGTTCAGTGCTAAAATTCCATTATTTCAATTCACAACAAGTACAAACAGGAGTGAAACACATACTGCTGCCGTTTGTTTTTTCCTGTTCCAGCAGTCTGCACAAATGTCATGCTTAGGAATGATGATTCATCTCTAATAATCATGATTCATTCTGATTACGATCATGATTAATCACGATTAAGGTTAGACTTTGTAATCGTTTGAAAGCCCTATAAAAAAATAAAGTTCACACATGGCCCTCAGGACGACAGATCTGCAGGGTCCCATCAGCCGGTCTCCATGTTCCCATAATGCCCCTGTTGCAGGGTCCCAACAGGGGCATTATGGGAACATGGAGACCATGTTCCCATAATGCCCCTGTGTTCTGAGACACTGACACTGTTTGTGATCTTTTGATCAAAGTGCCGACTCCTTGATTCACATGTGGCGTGTTGTTGTGACAGCAATTAGCACAGCTGACTGATGGAAATCTGTTTTTTTTTCTTTTTTCTTTTTGAACAGAGATCCGCAACCAGCTGGTGGAGCAGTTCAAATGCCTGGAGCAGCAGTCGGAGTCTCGTATCCAGCTGCTGCAGGACCTGCAGGAGTTCTTTCGACGCAAAGCAGAGATCGAACTGGAATATTCCCGCAGCCTGGAGAAACTGGCCGAGCGCTTCTCCTCCAAGATCCGCAGCTCCAGAGAACATCAGCAGTTCAAGTGAGTGTGCCGCCCTGCTGGTGTGATAGTGACATCACCTCGTCTCTCAATTTATCTACTCCATATTCAAATGATGATTCTGTAGCTCTGGTCAGGTTTAAACTGGGAGTTTATTGACTCCTTCAAATGTCAGAGACGTTCAGTTTGATGATGAGGAGCCGGTATTTAATGGTAGAACATGATGACTGTTGAGGGGAGACATAATTACAGCTGGTGCTGATGGGTTTTTTTTTTGACTGTGATAAAAAAAATCTTGCAGTGAGGCTTCACGCTCTGCCAGGCTACAATTTTTCAAAATTAAGAACCAATTTGGTCAGAAACTCTGTATCAGGTAGAAATCTGAGACCAGACCCAGACTCCTGAGCCACATGATACCCATCACCAAAGTCAGCAGGGGGCAGTGTGTTTGGGGACAGTGCCATGCACCTCTGCCATGAACCTGAAACCTTCCAGACCAAAGTCCACTTCCTTAACCACTAAGCCACCACTGCTGCACTTTTTAACTCCAAATTGACCAGTGTGTTTGTGAATGGTTCATTGGTTTGTTTCTATGCGTCACCCTGGTGGACAGTCCTGGAAGTACAAGTAGATGCACCGAGATTCGCCAGCTTAGAAACACTTTTTCAGCTCTACGGCTGTGGAGCAAAGATGGCCGACGTTCTTTCAGAACAGATTACCAACACAATAGTGCGTGACTCACGGAGGGCATGGAGCTGATCTCAGCAGGAGTCTGTCAGTACATGTCTGTCTGCGGTGAATGGAGACCACGAAGGACACATCTGGACGCAAGAACAAACATCCACACATTTTCAACTTCCATTTTATTTTCAGGGACCGTCACAGAGAGGAGAGTCTGATGTTCACTCCAAAAAGCTTTTTTTACAGTTACAGTAAAATCAATAAACCCAGATTATCATTATTTATAGTTTAGAAAATATTAAACTCAATAAACCCAGATTATCATTAGTTCAGGACAGAAGTGAAAAAAATGAGTACTTGAGTACTGTTAATTGAAGAGTATTTTGTACTTTCTTGTACTCCATAGTGACGGTCATGTACGTACATGTGTAGTTTGTACACGTGCATGTACTTATTTGAGCAGATAATTGAGTCCAGCTGTGGTACTGGACGACGTCAGTGTGTTGTTGCAGCAGTCAGTCAGTCAGTGGGGTCACCTGCTGGACAGCTGATGTCACCACACACTCGGGCACAGGTGCTCGAACCTGCAGCTGTAGATGAAGTCACGTGTTCTGATGTCGTCACATTAACAACATCACGTCAGGACGAACATTTGAAAATTCATGTAAGTGAAGTATCCAGACAAGTTTTTAAGGTGATGGAAGCTGTGCTTTTACTGCAGCGCCGCCCTTTTGGAGATAGGAATATGAACTGCTGTTCCTGTCAAAACAAAAAAAAAGAAAACAAGACGTACAATTACAGATTAACTTCTCAGCTTTGGCTCAAATAAAGAAAATCTTAAAATTCAATATAATCTCACACTCACCAAAAAAAATTGGTGCATTTCTAGTCGTTTTACGTCAAAAATAAGCGAACATTTTTCCAGATCTGTTTTTGTAGGACTGTCGTGTTTTTGTCATTAGTGATGATTGTTGACGACACAGATGAAGCTGCTCCTCCTGTGAAGAACATTCAAAGACACGACAGTGAAGGGAATGTCAAATCTGGAGCTCTGCTGTCTATTTTAGAAAATATTTTAAATGATGTAAATACCGGCTCAGAAAGTGTCGTCCTTTTTTTTTTTTTTTCAAACATCTTTAAACAGAGGAAAAAATTACTGATTTCTTGTGCAGAACCTAGAACCTGTAAAAGAAACTCTGTGCTGATTGGACTGGCTGTAAATACATCGCCCCCTGCAGCCTCCTGTAGCCTCCTGCACATTTGGTGTAAAATGTAGAGTCTAATACAGACACACATTTTTTTTCCCCCTCACATCTATTTACTATTTTCTATTTTTGCACACTTGCACCTTGAAGCAGCCAAACGCCCCCCCCCCCCCCCCCCCATCCCCCGGCTGTTAAATGAAAACGTGTTTTGGTGCAGATTATTCACATTCCCTCTGCTCCATGTGAAGTCTTTTTTTTTCTTTCTTTTTTTTAATAATTCATCTGAAAATAGAACAGCACATATGGTCGACATGTCAGTCGCTGCAGCCACCACTGCAGGAAGGACGCCGTCTGTGTCTGAACCCTGTGAACATGTGATAAGATGACTGTGGTTGTCATCGTCGTGTGGCGTCTTTCACCAGTTTTTAACTGTAACTCTGACAAATCTGTGGTGGAATCATAGAACCTTTAATCTTCTTGCTCCAGACTCCATTGGCTGAAGTGTCATTTTTGCTGCCCTCTGCATGTGTTTTCTCTTTATCTCTATCAAGTCAAACTTTATAGCTGGGAAATAATGGATATAATAGTTGGCAGAGCTGCTGTGGAACTCCCAGGTAGAAAAATCAAGTGAGTCGAGCTGTGAATCTGAGTTTAACAAATACTGAACCAAAATGTTAAGATTATGTTTTTTTTCTTTCTAAAATGCATTTAAATTTAGTGCTTTTCGTCAGAGGGTGTACAGCTCAACAGCACACCAAAGCTCTGCATCGTAGTACACAGGCCAACTGTTCATTCTCTAAGGCATTGTGTCCCAAAGACTGGGCCGTGACCCTCAGGTGGGTCGCAAGAGTTTTATTTTTTCGGAGTCGTCTCACACCATGTTTCATCATTTTAATAACGTCTATTGATTTGGGTCGCGAAGGTTTTAAAACATGGGTCCCCAGAAAAAAAGGTCAGGAAACACTGGTCTAAGGTCTTTTATTTCTCATATCTTTCGTCCAATCATTGCCATCCCCTCCCATCATCTTTGTTGTTTTGACTGGGTGTAAAACGACAGAACAAGGTAAATAAATAAGTCATAAAACGCTGCATGTTATTACAGACGTCAGTATTAAGTAATAGAACGACAGTGAGGCTGGGCCTGAACCAGTCTTAACAAATGATCGTCCTGTGACTCATCCCTCCACTAATCCTTTTCTTTCACTTTCCTGTACTTGAGTTTGTGGTGAGCCAGCAAAACACCTCAAAGGCTCGGGGGAAGAAAAACATTTGTGTTTGTCCAATAAAAACCTTTAAACAGGCACGAAGCCCAGCCGTGCAGACTGTACATCAGCAGGCCCGGACACCGTGTCTGGACATATGTTTAGATATATATGTTAATGTATATGGATGGAACAGATCTGTCCATATATGTTGTGTCTGTCGCTGAAGGACAGACACAACGGTCGTTAAACAGAATGAAGTCATCCTGACTGGAGCTCACGTCCATGTGTGTTGGACGGCGGGCTGCCATCTATTGGCTGAACCCTCACACGCAGCAGATTCATTAGCCAGTTGAATGTCATTGTGATTTACAGCTGCTGCAGCGACGACATGATCCGTCCATATATGTTGTGTCTGTCGCTGAAGGACAGACACAACGGTCGTTAAACAGAATGAAGTCATCCTGACTGGAGCTCACGTCCATGTGTGTTGGACGGCGGGCTGCCATCTATTGGCTGAAGCCTCACACACAGCAGATTCATTAGCCAGTTGAATGTCATTGTGATTTACAGCTGCTGCAGCGACGACATCGCCACAGCAGCAGCAGCCACAGCAGCAGCAGCGGCCGGAGCCAGAGTTCACTCCCCACCGTAGGCGCTT